ATAAAGTCCTCACTCAGGCACGCAACAGTAAATGACATGTGTTAGGACATTCACCATTGTGGTCACATATTCTTTTCTGCAACCGTTTTCTGAGGCATTCCTCATGACATGCTAATTGTCACTAGTGCATCAACACTAAATCGCTTAGGACACTCCAAAGGCAGAGAGCCCAAGGTAATTATATCATTCATTTAAGATGGTTTATGTCATGGACAATGTTACCCAAGGCCACTGCGAACTCCCATCAAGGCAATAATAGAAAATATGTGAAATTGGAAAGAAATCCGATAACCAAACCCAATAGGAGTTTTTGAGGCCCGTCCAATAAGAATGGATTCATTTGGCTTTATTCCTGTTTAGTCACCTGCTTTGTGAGGCAAGTTATTGCAACCTATGACTCATCACTTCCTGGACCCTTATGCCAAATATTTTAACTCACGAATGTGGAGACTGAATTGCTTGGCTATGCCCTCCTCTCTGTCACAGTGAAACTTTAACAGCTTTTCCAGCATAGCCTAAGGACTCAAGTGTTGAATGATCTGAGGCCAGTTCATATTCTGAATGGGAGATGATGAGAGAACTCAGTTGCCTGCCACATGAGCTTGAAGAGCTCAGTTTGATGCCCCAGAACTCATGTAAAAAAACCCACGTACGGTAGTAGGAGTTTGTAATCCCAGAAATAGGGAGGCAGAGACAATAGGATCCCGGGGGCTTGCTGACTAGCCAGTCTATTAAACCATTGAGCTCTGTGTTCATCCAGAGACCTCAACTAAAAAGGAACTATTGAAGAAAGTACCTGTGATAGTTTGAATAGGTATGGCCCCACAGACTTATGAGTTTCAATGTTTGGCCCATTGGAAGTGGCACTATCAAGAGGTGTGGCCCTGTTGTAGTAGGTGTGGCCTTGTTGGAGGAAGTGTGTCACTGTGGGGCAGGCTTTGAGATCTTCTATGCTCAAGCTCCACCCAGTATGGGCCAGTCTCCTTCTTGCTGCCTGTGGATCAAAATGTAGTACTTTCAGCTCCTTCTTCAGCACCATGCTTCCTGAAGGCTGCCATGCCTCCTTCCATTATGATAATGGACTGACCCTCTGAAACTGTAAGGCATCCCCAATTAAATGTTTTCCTTTATAAGAGTTGCCTTGGTCGTGGTGGCTTTCACAGCAATAAAGCCCAAACTGAGACAGTACCTGACATGGATGTCTGTTCTATACATGTACCCACCCACACATGTGCATATACACAAACACGCACCTACACACACAATCTGCAGGAGTGAATTTCATGGAAATATCGATATTATTCTAGTCTATACTGTTGGAAGTAATTAGGGCAAGTGGTTGCAGACTTTCCAGCAAGGTTTTGCAGTCCTGGTGGTGTTTTTTTTTCCTTGTAAAATTTGTATGAAGGCAAATAATAGAGAATTTGAGCTCTTAATTTATTTTTAGAGGTATGTTTTTTAAAGCAATGGATTTATTAATTCAATCTTAAATTTCTTTTATAGCATCCCTGTGTCTAACCCAGTAGTTCTATTCATAGGGTGGCAATTTACTTTAGGCTTTTATGTAAGTCCTAGCAAGATATGCCCATTAATCCAATCACTACAGCAGGCTATGATTAATTCACTTTAGCATTGATTTTTAAGGTCAAAGAAAAAGCCTCCTTACAGGAAGAAAAAAATGTATTAAGGGATTATAGGCTACAACTGCCAGGACAAAGATATTTACCCATATAATTTATTGTAATTTTCTGTTTTACACAATCATCTTCTGTATATTTCATGGAAATCTCATATTTTATAATTTAATGGCAGACCAAATCATTTAGTGATGACCATTAAGCCTGTCTTGAGTCAGTGAACTAGAAAGCTATTTTCATTTGTGTAATCTTTAGCCATTTACTACTTTACTAATGAGGAAATGCATGCCCAGAAAAGTCAGATGGCTTAGCTGTCCAACATCATTGATTTGAAAAGAGGGATATCTAGAAACCATCTTTACCCTTTTATGCCTGTCCTTTGTTCCATGCATTTATAGACCTTGCTGTGGTTTTGTGAGCTGAAGTATAAACCAGACCCTGGACTTTCACACGTTATCCCTTAGAAACTGCACAGCAAACTCCAGAGGACAGGTGTTTCATTATCCTAATTTTATATTCAAGAAAGTAAAGTTATGACATGTTGCTTAAGCAAAGTCATTTACTTAACAGCTAAGGTGGGTTAATATTTTCAATGAAAATAAAAAGTTTGCTTTGCCCCAAACCTCAAATGCCCCAAACCATGTCCTATATAGACAAACCATTGTTGCTTAAAAAGATGATATTTAAATGTTCTTTCTCATTTTGGCCATTTGACACTGTCTTTCTTGGGGAAAATGGTAATTTTCCTCATAGTAGAATTATTGAATCATATGATTTTTTTTATTTTTTTGACTCTTCATAGCTATGCTAATAAACATTTCCACCAATAACATTTTAGCCCTTTTTCTCAGCATTTTTACTAGCATATATATGTTGAGAACATGTTTTAAACAAGAAGTGAAAGCAAAGGCTGGGATATTGAGGACAACAAATTGGGCAGGCAGAAGGGGTTTAAGTGTGGATAAAGAATAGGAAAGGTTACAAAATTATAGAAACTGAGCAACTCTCTACTGAACAAAAAATGAGTCAAGACATAAATAAAGAAATTAGCGACTTTTTAGAATTCAGTGAAAATGAATACATACTATCTAAACTTATGGAACACAATGAAAGCAGTGCAAAGAGGAAAGTTCATAACACTAAGTGCCTAAATAAAAATGTTGGAGAAATCTCATACTAGCAACTTAACAGCATACCTGAAAGCTGTATGACAAAAATACTCACCCAAGAGGAGTAGATAGCAGGAAATAATCAAGCAGATGGCTGAAATAAATAAAATAGAAACAAAGTAAACAATATGAAGAATTAATGAAACAAAGATCTGGTTCTTTGGGAAAATCAACAAGATATACAAACCCTCATCTACACTAACTAAAAGGTGGAGCAAGAATATCCAAATTAACAAAATCAGAAATGGAAAGAGTGGCATAACAATAGACACCAAAGAAATCCAGAGAATTATAAGGACATACTTTAAAAACGTGTACTCCACCGAATTGGGTCATCTAAAACAATAGATAGTTTTTAATAGACAGCACTTACCAAAGTTAAGTCAAGAACATAAAAACACTTTAAAGAGGCCCCCTAGCCCCTAGTGAAATAGAAGCAGAAATTAAAAGCCTCCTAGGAAAAACAAAAACAAAAACAAAAACAAAAAAAAAACAGTCCAGGGCCATATGGTGTTCATGTAGAGTTCTACCAGAATTTCAAAGAGGAGTTAACAACAATACTGCTTAAATTATTCCACAAAATAAAAACAGGAAGAACATCATCCAATTAATTTTATCCTGATACTCAAACCACATAAAGACTCAACAAATAGTGATACTTGGATGTCTTCCTTTCCAATTTATATCCCCTTGTTTTCCTTTAGTTGTCTTATTGCTCTAGTTAGGACTTCAAGTACTATGTTGAAGAGATACACAGAGAGTGGGCAGCCTTTCCTTGTCCCTGATTTCTGTGAGATTGATTTAAGTTTCTCACCATGTAGTTTGATGTTGGCTATAGGCTTGCTGTATTTTGTTTTTACTATGTTTAGGTATGTGTCTTGTATCCCCTGAGCTCTCCAAGACAATTATTTCTCATATCTCTGAATCTCTCAGTGGCAAATACTTCAGTAGCGAAGGCTGAGGTCTTTTGAGTTCCTCTTCCGCCCAAGCCTGACTGTTGGAGAACCAGTTCTTATACGAACCCAATGCATTTAGCATCCCTTTTTCCTTTCATTCTTTCAACTTGCCTGGGCCATTCTGTTCACCTTCTTAAACATTTTTAATGTTAAATCAATATTACATTATGCTAATACTGGAAAGACAACAACAACAAAACCAAACCCATACTAATTCCCAAGTGAAGAAGAGAAGCTATGCTTCATAATGTGGACTTGAAAGATCTCTGTACTCCAAGCTTGTCTCTCTGTACCTTTGTTTCTCATCCGGCTACTGCTCCAGAACAGCTTATACACATAATGCATCTGCCTTGAATTTCAGCCTTCCCAAGTTGGTGCCACCTACTTCCTCTGCTTGGAATAACTCACTGCACAGTCTTTTCCAGGATGACTTTGGTAGCATAAGACCAAGTTCAGATTCTATACTAGAGATGAATCTAGCTAATCTCTCCCTAGGCCTCTCCCCTTTGCTCTTGTAAGTCCTTTGCTGCCTGCTCACTCAGGAGGGCTGTAGATAACCCAGGTATAACTTTAGGTTGCTTTGTTTGTCTCATTTTGTGACACACAGAGATGCTCTTACCCTAGCAGAATATCAAGTTTCTGGAGAATGGAGACCATGATTTTTCCATTATATTTTAAATGGTCTAGAGGTGTATGTCTTCAGTGATCCTGAAAGGTTACAATAAATACTTTTTAATTAACTGACTCCGTAAGTGTCGTGTTTTCAAGCACACTGGGAAGTGCTCACAAAAGTATAACCCTTCACTTTAAAAACAATAATTTATGTAAGTGGGTAAAAAAAAAAAAGCCAGGTGTATTAGTTTAATTACTGTAGAAGCCACAATAATAAGTTTACCTCTTGCTCACCTTGCTGCTTTTCAAAGTACCCTTTTCTAATTGATATGTTTAGATAGACTGTTTAAAAACTTTCTGCAGACACAGTCCGGGCTTGCCTCTCCAGCAGAAATGAACGCGTGTTCCACATTCCCTTTGTAAATAATCACATTTGCCTCTGGAGTTCAAGAAGTTCAGGGCTGCTCTTTGCTTTGTGAAAGCGGCAGCTTCTGTTTCCTTTTCATATGCAGCAGGCTGGAATAGAAGGCAGAAGAAATGCTGTAAGAGCTGAGATTTGGTGAGCAGAGAGGATAATAGGAAAGATTGATATGGCTTCATAGAAGAGTTATTTTTAAGTACAGAGAATGCCTATTCCCCTGCTGAAAGGGCCTTTAGAAAATATTACCAGGATCCGGAAAGCTGTGGGGGCCATTCCCATCACCTGGGATAGCCATTCTGGTCTGCAGGCTGTTGCTGCCACCTGCTGCAAGCAAACAGCCATGGAGGGGCTGCCGTGTAGGTTTTGTCGCTTCAGGATACCAGATGCATTCAATTCATATGCCATAGGCACCTGAAAATTGTCTTAACTAAGAGTCTAAATGGATCCCAAAGGAAAATTAGTAAAATCTGATGTGTCCAGGCTACAGAAGTTCCTAGATATTAGGATCATGATCCAGAAGCTGAGAGAGAGAGAGAGAGAGAGAGAGAGAGAGAAGGCAGATTTGTCCAACAGCCTCCTCCTATAAGTACTTCTAATAAACCACCCTAGCGAGAGGCAGGGATTCTATTAAAAGTGAATCTGCAGCTCTAAAAATCACACTCCCTTGCTTTAATGAGACATTCTCTCACTCTCTTTTTAAAGTTTCCCCATTTTAATGCAATAAGAGATGCCTAAATATTCCAAGTAAGAATTCAGTAAGTTTGGGTTTTTGGTGAATTTTTATGACAGATATAGTAAGAGGTGACAAGTTCCTCTCCAGGTATATAATGTCTTCATCTAATAGGGACACCAACTCTCAGAATCATTACAACACATCCCCTGACTGGTTTTATTATATCTCTTCACTACTTTACCAGAATTTCCAGCTGCAATGAAAAAAGGTACCCTGAGCAGTTACATCACTTTCTGTCCTCCTTTCAAGGATCTGCACTCCTAACCTTCTCTGGAAAAATTATCAGGACCATCTGACTTAACATACCCACCAATGTACTGTGTGGTTCTTTATGGGTTTTGGGTTAGCCAGATAAAGCTCTTAGACCGTTATCTAAAAAGGCCCCTCACCACCATAATGAATGATTTCTCCATCTGGCCTCCACACTACCAAAGACAAGGGGTGGAAAAAACATCCTTACACCTCCTTACCCCCCGCCCCGTGTGCCCACAGAAATGTGGATTTCCCTACTCGAAACTAGACAATAGTGACATTACTCCCTGTTATTCTTCAGAGTTTATTAAAATCAAATATGTTAACCATTGTTCTTTCACCCTGGGGCAATTCAGGAATGAAAAATATATCTTAAGATTGGACTGAAATGCTATTATGAGAGGCAGCAAGCTCGTGTTTGCTAAATGACTTTGTGTTCTTGAAAGGAAACGTATAAAAAGCACACGGGGACTGCTCTGCACAATTCCCTTTGTTTCGATTTTAGAAGCAGCTTGACTGACAAAGAGACTGAAGGAGAGAATCTTGGGATATGGAAAAGTCTTTTAAAGGTGAGACACAAGGTTTCAGAGAACAGTTTCAGCATTGTTCTTGTGAAGGTTATACTTAGCCCTGAACCACACTACTTTCCTGTCTGCATTTCATTTCCTGGGGACTTGCCAAGTGATCAACAGCCTCAACCCTGTAGTAAAGTTGGGGTTTTTGAGCACGAATAGGGTGCCAGAGTTTGCTTAGCAGAGACATCAGTTGACTGGTGTGATGTTTACAGAAATGCTGGTGTGAGCAGTTCAGGGAGACAATGGGGGAAATGGACATACTATGCTGTTTACTCCATCACCCAAACACAGTTTTCCAGTCCATCTTGTCTTTTCAGATGGCTGCTTTGGGAACCTTTGCTCCTTTGAAATAGCTCATGACTGCTGCAGGAGTTGCCCACTAGGGCAAACTGTTGCTAAGATTGTCAGTTATGTATTTAAATGGCAAGCTTCAGGAAAGATGCCAGAGTCAAGATAGGATTCCTAATGAGCAGTAAAATCAAAAAGGGAATGAATGGTTAGTGTCATTGTCCTGGCCTCTCTTCAACATTTTCCCCTCTCAAAGAGTCTTGAGAAATTGGAAAATTTGTGTGTCTGTACTCCTGGTCCATTACAAAGACAACTGCAGCAAACTTAAAGTAGCCCCACAATCATGTCCACGGTCAGAAAACCTTGCTCAGGTTTTAATTCTTTCTTAAGCTTTTTTTTCCCTCTTCAAATTAACAAGTATTTCTCAATGTCATTAGTGGTTTGATGTATGCTAAGTTTTACTCAGTCACACACAAGGAATGCCTTGGAAAGCCAAGTGGAGTCCTTTATGGCAATGGGAACCAAAACCTAAAAGGCCCATTTCAAAATGGAATGAGGAGAGCTTAGTTTTGAAGACCATAGTACAAGATTATTATTGAAAGCCTGAGTATCTTAAGACTTAACAGTGTATGGCTATGAAGATTGGGAGAATTTCTGAATCAAAGACACATTGGAATTGGTAATCTAGATAGGCTTAGAGCATGTTATTGAAGGATCAGTCTCAGGGAGTTACACTCAAATGTGTTTCCTCTGTCTACCCAAACTTTGTGCATCTACAAATGAATAATAATTCCTATCCATTGAGTGACTTTGAGGTCCTTGCTTTTTCTCAGCAGCTTGTCATCTTTTTTATCCTTTCCCCTTGTGAGCTCAAGGGTACTTGTCACAATAACAAACAACTTCTGTAAAGGTAAGTTCTAAAACGGAGACCAGCGTTTCTGAAGATATCAAAGCCTCAATGCTGAACAAATTATTAGTGGTCTGTACTGTGCAGTCAGGCTGCTGAGGGAAGAGAGGCTCTGCTTTTATGTCTAGCATTTCATGCGCTACATAAAGATGAGGCCCTAGGGAACCTGTACCTGAGGCATCTGCTCATTCCCCCTTGGGAAACGTAACTACATGGAGATGAAGGTCCCTCATTCTCAGAGGGAATGTCAGGTTTCTTATTCCACTCAGCCAGAATGTAGGAAGCAGTGTGGAGTTATGAAGTTAATGTTAAAGGAAAACTAGAGATGTGACTAAATGTGAAGAGAATTCATGCTCTCTTAAGGGAGTGAATCTCTAAATGGTTTACTTCTTTTCCCAGTGCTTTGCTTTCTCTTTTTAATAAGGGAGCCTAACGATATTACTCTTATGAAGTGCGAAGATAAAAAAGATAGCATTATAAAAACCTCTTGTGAACACATAGTGTTTTAAAATAAGAGTCACTTCATTTTGAAGAACTTTCAAATAAAGTTTGAAAAGAAAACTACTACATTTAGACTAATAATTACAGATGGTGATCCAGAAAGATTGACAATATTCAGGTATATTAACAGTTTCCTGTTAAGTTTGCTAGGGTACTTCTGTCTCTAAGTAGCCTAAATTTATGAGGCTGAGGAGGTGGCTCAGCAATTAAGAGCACTTCCTGCTCTTATAGAGGACCTAACTTTGATTCTTAGTACACTCATCTGGCAAATTCACACCTAGCTGTAACTCCAGTTCCTGAAGGATCTGTGGACATCACTCATTCACATGTAACGCTTACTCATATATATAATTTAAAGTAATAGAAATAAATCTTCAAATACACTTAGTTTTATTCAACATTATTCAGAGGCCTTCAGTTACTTTTTAAGCAAATCAACAGAAATATTCAGGTGTCAATAGTTTTCTCTATCCTAAATCACAAGGAGATTTCTACACCTAAGGCAGCCAGGAAGAAATTTCAGTTGCTCTCTCATATCAGTGAACTGACCAGGTTTTTAAGAGTCACTTCATGATTTGTATTCTTACAAAAAATGATTTTTTTTAAGCACACACACACACACAAACATAAAGGTGCACTCCAGCTGAATAATGCAAACTAATTATTCATATCCTTCCTTTTCCAGGAGTATGGGAAGAAATATTCAATGCAAGAGAAAACATATATTTTCTGCCTAATTCTGATGTCAACTTGACCTGCCAAACAAAGGAGAAAGGCTTCTTCGTACAGATGCTATGGTCCAAGGTCATGGATAAAAATGATCTGATTGCTGTTTATAATCCCCAACATGGCATCCACTGTACCCAGGGCTATGCCTATAAATCACAGGTGACTTCCATAGAAACTCTGAAGAATGTAACAAAATAGACTCTATACTTAAAGAATATCTCTTCCACCCTCACTGGAAAGTATGAGTGCAGCATTACACTGTATCCAGAAGGCATCCAGACTATAGTCTACAATCTCATTGTGGAACCCAGTGAGTATAACCTACCCAGGAAGGAATGCTTTCATGTAGCTTTCACTAATCCGGCAAAGACACACAGACCACAGCCATGTTCTATAATTTGTGTTCCATGTACAAAGACTTAGCAGAATGAAGTATTGCCTGATACAGGAAGTAGCAACAGATCAAATAATCCCTGTTGGAGTGTGAACTTCCAACAGGGTCAAGTGTTGTAACAAGAACAACAGGTAAATGAGAGCATAACAGAATCCAGGGAGATGGTCACTGAGAAAGGAACACCTAAACTGAAGATGAGTAGTTGTTAATGCAACTTAAAAGTGTGTGGGTGGTTGTGGGTGACCTATAAATGGGGTAAGGGCAGCCATAGGAAATATTTTTGCAAGGTTTAAGGACATGGGAAGGTGCAAGTGGAACTAAAGTGTGTAGATTTGTAGATAAAGCTAGAGACACAGTGAGGACCAGATCATGCCTGACCTTCTTGCCTATGTCCAAGACTGTTTAACATAAGAATCATATCAAGAAATGAAATTTTTTCCAACAAGAGGATAAGATGATGTTTGTAATTTGATTGTATTCATGTTATAAAAAGATGATTCTGTTGTTGTACAGGGTTGTTTTGGAGATTCTGGGTTTTTTGTTTCTCCATATGAAGCTGAGAATCTTTTTTTTCAAGGTCTATAAAGAATTGAGTTGGTATTTTGATGGGAATTGCATTGAATCTGTAGATTGCTTTTGGCAGGATGGCCATTTTCACAATGTTAATCTTACCAATCCATGAGCAAGGGAGATCTTTCCATCTTCTGAGATCTTCTTCAATTTCTTTCATCAGAGACTTGAAGTGTTTCTCAAACAGGTCTTTCACTTTTTGGTTAATGTCACCCGAAGGTACTTTATGTTATTAGTGGCTATTGTGAAGGGTGTTGTTTCCCTAATTTCTTTCTTAGCCCTTTTGTCTTTTGTGTACAGGAGGGCTTCTGATTTTTTTGAGTTGATTTTGTATCCTGCCACTTTGCTAAAGGTGTTTATCAGCTGAAATAGTTCTCTGGTTGAATTTTTGGGATCACTCATGTATACTATCATATCATCTGCAAATAGTGACACTTTGACCTCTTCCTTTCCAATTTGTATCCCCTTGATCTCCTTTAGTTGTCTTATTGCTCTGAACAACAACGGATCATCTGGAGGTATCTCCATCCCTTATCTCAAACTGTACTACAGAGCAATAGTAATAAAAACTGCATGGTATTGGCATAGAAATAGAAAGGAGGATCAATGGAACTGAATAGAAGACCCAGAAATAAACCCATGTACCTATGAATACTCGATTTTTGACAAAGCAGCCAAAACCATTAAATGGAAAAAAGATAGCATCTTCAACAGATGGTGCTGGTCTAATTGGATGTCTACATGCAGAAAAATGAAAATAGATCCACATTTATCACCCTGCACAAAACTAAAGTCTAAGTGGATCAAAGTCCTCAACATAAAACCAGACACACTAAATCTGTTAGAAGAAAAAGTGGGGAACAGCCTAGAACTCATTGGCACAGGAGACAACTTCCTGAACAGAACTCCAACAGGCTTTAAGAGCAACAATCAATAAATGGGACCTCATGAAACTGAAAATCTTCTGTAAAGCAAAGGACACCGTCATCAAAACAAAACAACTGCCTACAGATTGGGAAAGAATCTTCACCAACCCTTTATCTGACAGAGGGCTAATATCCAGTATATATAAAGAACTAAAGAAGCTGAAAAGCAACAAACCAAGTAATCCAATTAAAAAATGGGGAACAGAGCTAAACAGAGAATTCTCTGTAGAGGAATATAGAATGTCAGAGAAACACTTAAAGAAATGCTCAACATCATTAGCCATCAGGGAAATGCAAATCAAAACGACCCTGAGAATAGCCATCAGAATAGCCAAGATGAAAAACTCAAATGACAACACATGCTGGAGAGGTTGTGGAGAAAGGGGAACCCTCCTCCATTGATGGTGGGAATGTAAACTGGTACAACCACTTTGGAAGTCAATCTGGCGCTTTCTCAGACAACTAGGAATAGTGCTTCCTCAAGACCCAGCTATACCACTGCTAGGCATATACCCAAAATTTACTCAAGTACACAAAAAGGACATTTGCTCAACCATGTTTGTAGCAGCTTTATTTGTAATAGCCAGAACCTGGAAACAACCCAGATGTCCATCAATGGAGGAATGGGTACAGAAATTGTGGTATTTTTACACAATGGAATACTACTCAGCAATCAAAAAAGAGGAAATCATGAAATTTGCAGGCAAATGGTGGGATCTAGAAAAGATCATTCTGAGTGAAGTATCCCAGAAGGAGAAAGACAAACATGGAATATACTCGCTTATATAGACCTAAGAGATATGATAAACATAATGAAGTCTATACACCTAAAGAAGATAATCAAGAAAGCAGACACGGGGTATGATGATCAATCCTCATTTAGAAAGACAAATGGGATATGCATTGAACGTATGACAGGAGTCTACTGCAGAAAGCATCTGAAAGAATCTACCTAGCAGTGTTCCAAAGTAGATACTAAGACTCATAACCAAACCCTTGGCAGAGTGCAGGGAATCATATGAAAGAAGGGGAGTTTGATGTGGAAAGGATAGGAGCTCCACAAGGACCAAACATATCTGGGCACAGGGTCTTTTCTGAGATGGACACTCAACCAAAGACCATGAGAGGATAAAACCTAGAACCTCTGCTCGGATGTGACCCGTGATAGCTCAGTAATCAATTGGTTTCCCATAGTAAGGGGAACAAGGATTATTTCTAACAGGAACTCAATGACTGGCTCTTTGACCTCCCCACCTCCCAAGGGAGGAGCAGTACTGTTAGGCCACAGAGGAGGACTTTGCAGCCAGTCTGAAAATACCTGACAAAACGGAGTCATATGAAAGGGGAGGAGGTCCTCCCCTATCAGTGGACTTGGAAAGGGGCAGGGAGGAGATGAGGGAGGGAGGGTGGGATTGGGGAGGGAATGAAGGATACAGCTGGGATACAGAATTAACAAAATGTAACTAATGAGAAAAATAAAATTAAAAAAAAGAAAATTAAAAAAAATAAAAATAAAAACACACACACAAAAAAAGATGATTCTGGCTTCAGTATGAGACTGTTTTTAAGGTGAGCAAAGAAGAGATAATGGGAACACATGGGAAGACCATTTTCAACTGTCTGGAAGAGATATAATGATAGTCTGGTAGATATGGAAGGAACTTACACATTTTATGTACTGAGTATGAAACACCCCTGATCTGATCAGAGAGTAAATGTAGGACATCTGAATGAAGAAGGAAGACGCCTTAAAGGTGACATGCGACTTCTGGCGTGCACACCTGCATGGCGGTACCAGTTGCTCAATAAAAGATGAAAAAAGTGGAGTGGCTCTGTGAGTGAATTTATGAAAATGAATCTTGATTCATTTTACCTGTGGCAGGTAAATAGGCCACAGAAGCTCCTGGACATATAGCATTCAGACTGTACAGGTTTCATGGCCTGCCTTTGTGAAGGAGCCTTGAATTTAAGCTCTAGATCCATCCTGGCTAGAAATGTATTTGACTTGTGGCCTGTCTTGTAAGTTCTCCGAGGCTGTTTTGGAAATTATTATAATAATACCTGCCCGACATGACCTGGTCCTAAGGTAAAATGATTTTTGTTCCTTTTGGAGAGAAAAAATGAAAATAAAATCCAGCAAATAGAATATGCACTGGAAATTGAATGTTTTAAACTTAGGGGATGGAAGGAGGAATCGCCTGGTAATATGAAGAAAAAAACAAAACACAAAAACAACAACAAAAGCTAAATCAGGAAAGCCTTGGGGCAGGAGGCATGGAGCTGCCCTGGTACACAACAGGTTTGGATTTCTCGGCTTCTCTACAAGTCTAATTCCTGCTGCTCCTAGACAATGCTGTTCAAAATCACATTAGATGGTAGGATTCCATCAAATGGGACAAAACAGAACTTCAGGCAAGTTGACAATGGCATAGGTGGAGTGCTGTTTATTTTGAAATGAAGGGATTCAGAAGACCTATTGAGTGCAACACTTGGCTTTGGGTCCTTTGGGTTCAGGCAGTGAATGGCATGTGCCTCTCACTAGAAACATCATCATTCCCACTATACTATCATTTCAGGTTTCTAAGCTTTTGGTTTTTTACCTAACAAAGTAGAGGTTTACAGTTCCTCCTTCACGGCTTCCATTATCTTGATAATTAAACAAGGTAATCTGTAGGAAGTACATACTATCGTTCCTATTAAAAGGTACAAATCTGGTGATAGAAATGGCTCAGCAGTGAAAAGCACTTGTTGCTATTTTAAAGACCTAGTAACATGATGGGTTACAGACATCTGTAACTTTAGTTTTGGGGGATCTGATGCCTTCTTCTGACCTCCTCAGGCACCAAGCACACATGTACAGGCAAAACATTATTAGACATAAATACAAATAAATAAATATTAAAAATAAGGTAGGAGTTTTGCAAATGGCTTGTGTTAATAATAATAATAATAGCAATAACTTTTTATAAATCTCAGTTCTTATTAGAAAGTAACTTCCTTATCTTTTTATTTTTGAGTGGAATAATTTGGACTCCGATAAGATATTGGCAGACATTAACAAAAGTACACCTTGACTTTGGATTTAAAACATACCTTGGAAGATTGTGTCAACCCCAAAAGAGTATACTATCACATTTCTGAGGCTCTGGTCAATACTCCATTGAGAAATGACTACATAGTTTTATCTACTGTCACTATCTATCCTGTGATCAAGTGGGGTGTACTCTATAAAAGAGAAGATATTTTATAGTTCCAATGAAGGCTGGAATGGAAAAGAGGTAACATTGTCTTTAAGAAAAGAGTAACATTGTCTTTAAGAAAAACGTACTTATTAAAAGAAACGGCAATGCAAGGTAATTAAGTTTGTAGTTACTGAAAACTGTAAACAGATGGAAAATCAGAGCCATATTTATGTTTTCT